GATATTTACGATCGCATATCTGGAGATCGTGCAAATGTCGTGTCAGAATGTTATTATTGTCTAGCCTGCAGTGGGGTACTCTATAGCGAGTACAACCCAATTAGGGTTTCCTATATGTATGCCAACTGCTGCTAGTGCAACCCTCTCCTTTCTTCATTCTTGTTTCTTCCTACTAGTTTTGACATGTCGTTCCTCTTGCCCTTGCAGGTAGTCTTTCCGGGGCTAACATTGTTCGCACTCTGCCTGCAACTCCCGAGATCACATGTATGCAATGTCACGACATATTTTTTTCGGTTAGAGCAAGGTCTTCTCATTAATGAGACATTTCAACTTGTTGCTCTAACCCCTCGACACACCCCATACCCCTCTTAATTTGGTCTACCTTTGCAGAAACCAGTCCGACGTCGAGGGTTTGGGGGCTGGCTCACCGCCTTCGGCTACTGCAGCGCCATCTTCGCCATTTCCCCTGCCTGAGCCGATGTCTCAGCTGTTGCCTCCGGCCACTACCCCTTTCGCGCCACACGTCGCCCAATGCGACGGGAGCCTCTTTGTCGCTCTAACTCGATCTCAGGGCGCGCGCGGGTCTGTCGCTGGGTAACCGTGTCATCCGTTTGCCGAGGGCGACGGCTGTAGAAAACGATGGCACAGGAACGGAGGGGGGGATGCCTTTAATGGGAGGCGATATGACAAGCACTGACTCAACTCTGTGTGATGAGATTGCCTCACGTATTGCCGGGACTAAGCGTGAGCTTATGCATGACAATTTCCATAATTTCATGTAGCTTACCCGAGAGCTGGTACAAGCATATCAGGATGTCCAAGGCGCCAAGAGGTGTAAAGATGCGCCGTTAGACGAGGGCGGCGGTGGGTCAGCGTAAAGCCGTCTGCGTTGGGTGAGTAGTGCAGCGCCGTTGCCGCCGGCCCCTGCTGCCACCATCGGGTGCGTTCGCGGGACTCTTCCATACGTGGGCTCGCGCCGAGGACCAAGTCGATGTTGTGCAGCGTCACTCAAGGGGCGACGTAACGTGGCGCCCGGAAAATGTCACACTGGAGTCGACCGTCGAGCAGGCGCCATTTCGTCTTAAGCCAACCGTTGACCTGCTCGACCACCATACACGAGCGTGACTGCTGCAAGTTCCAAACACTGCTCGTCCGGCAACTGACGGCCTATAGTAGCTCGGTAGGGAGTGTAGATATAGGTGCGCAGGCCGTACGCCGCGTCACCCACTAAGGCGTAGTCGTCTAGCTTCCGTTCTTCAATCCGTGTTCTTGCAGGGCTATTCTGAAACACGCGCGCGTCGTTGACGCTTCCTGGGTAGCCGATGATGAAGGTCCCATATGAGGCCATTGGAATCGCATACCAGTTGCAAAATATTATAATAAAACCCCTTTCTATTACGAACATCTTTGCGATGTGGCCCAAAGCCACGGCATCAAATGGCACCTACTATTCCAGGAATGCCTGCAAATGCTCGAAAATCTAATTCAGAGTTGTTGCATGTACCCCTGCCAGATGATGGCAAGGAATCACAAGAGCTGGAAGTTCGTCATGTTGCGATAATGTTGTGAGCTATAGATTTGACACGAGGGCTATTTGTGACCCTCGTGTCACCGTGTCGCGAGAGTCATACATGGCGCCCTGTCAAGAGGCCAAACTGGGTAACCTCCGAGGGTTGGCCGTGACTCGGCCAAGCTGCACAACTTCAACTTCGATAGTCGGACTTTTGTGTGTCCTGTGATTCTCGAGAACGTTGGAGTAGCGACTCGGGTTACAAATGTGGATATTGTCGAGCCTAGGTCGACCTAGGTTCAAATGTATACAATTCATCCCAAAACCCGAGTTCTGCTTATAAAAACCAAAAGACACGCGCCCTAACTAGGCGGGGAGGTTGGGGTGAGGATGGCTCGAAGATGTTGCGTTGGAGCGGGGGCGAACCGGGAGTGGTTCGGTGCGGGAGTGTAGACCGAAAGAAACTGACACGTGGCCCCCGAAATTGTACCCGCTAAAGTGCAAGTACAAAAAAGGAATACCGTATTCTCCCGGATAAAATACCCGTCGTAATTGTACATCTCCTGGGTAGATTGTGCGGGGTGGGTGTTATAGGCGACTTCGTTTGTACTATACCTCCCCTTTTGGGTGACTTTTCATATCATCCCCCTTTTCTTACAGATTCCTTATTAGAGCGTGTTCCTACGGCCTCCTGTCAGGCCTACCCCATATCAGATTTGTGGAAAATCGAGATTTTCGTTATAGAAACCGAATTTCGGACTTGTATTGCGCGATTAAAATCCGCACGTGCGAAACTTTCAATCGCGCCACATCAGCAAACCACACCGAGACCCTGCGCTAAACATGTGCAAACGCAAGTCTGTTTTGTCGAGAATGGGGCTACTTTTTTTTTTTTCTCACGGGCAACATTTGCACTGTGGCACCAGCGTCGCGATTCTCTTAGATGCCACAATGTGAAATTCGGAACCTGGCGTTTTTTTCTTTAACTGAAATCCCTTGCCCCGATGTTTGGGCAGTACGGGAAAGCTGTTCGCGATCCACGTGCCACATCAACCCATGCTATAATTTTTCACGCACGTTGCAAGACTAGAAAAGCGCCCAATACAAATTCGCCGTACACTGAGAAATATGTGATTGGGGTGAGTCTAACTAGCGGTTGCTTGACAAGGGCCCCGTAGGAACACGCTCTTATAGCTGTTAACGAATAGGTGCAAGTACGGGTGATACCGTATTCTCCCGAATAAAACACCCCCCCCCCCCCCCCCCCGTAATTGTACACCCCCGGGTAGCTTGTGCGGGGTGGGTGTTATATTTGACCTCGTTTGTACTATACCCCCCCTTTTGGGGTGATTTTATATAAGACCCCCCTTTTCTTATAGATTCCTATTATAGCTGTTATCGAGTCCGATTCCTTACGGGAGGATATCGCGAGAATCGCTCCCTAGATGAAATTTCGCATGTACTTTCACTTAGAATCTGCCGAGATTTCCCCCCTCCCACAATCTCGCTGTCGCCACGCTGGCGAATCTTCCAGTGCAAGTGGTCCGAGAGGTGAAGTGGCCCAAGTGGCCCACGAAATCCTCGTACTCGGTTTTGCGACATTGATCAACAATCTTGAAGTGAAGTCAGACCACTGATTCTGTTTCACATCTTTTCTGCTTGATAAAAAATCTACCATATAAATAAGACCCGGGTATTTTGTAGGATTTTCCTTTGAGGAGACCCCCCCATTTTTTTCCAGTGGTTTTCATAATACCCTAGGGTGTTTTCTCCGAGAGAATACGGTATTGCGCGAATCTCTCCCTCGATGAAATTATGCGGTACTTTCACTTACAGTCTGCCGAAATTTCCCCCCTCCCACTATTTCGCTGTTCCCACACGCTGGTGAATCTTCCGCTGCAAGTGGCCAGAGATGTTGTCACATGACATTTTCGAGGGGGTGATGAAGTTCGTGCCGAAACTCACATTCGCGCCTCAACATGTGATGAAAAACGACCACGACCACGGAAAAACCCAAGTTGTATAATTCAAACAATTTATAAACTAAACTATGCCATATGTATCCGCCGGGTATTATGTAGCTTTTTCCTATGAGGGCAAAAAAGTACAAGCTATGACATGATTCAACATTTAATTTTTATGTTTCGATTATAGGACATATATGTCTTATCCCATGTTGGTAATATGGTGTCCTATAAAAGGAACTTCTGTTTTTAAGAAAACACCCGTGTTAAAGACACCCCTGTCTTCAATTCAACACTATCTTCTATCCGGGTGATGACGGGTAAGCCCGATCTCTCCCGCACCCTTTCAAGCTGGGACATGGTTCATTATTCTATATTTCGGTTTTAGCCTATGGGGGTTTGTCAAATAATGTTTATATATTGTTCGGTGCTTAAGGCTGCCGTACGATAAGTAGAAAAAGGGCCTGTGCTAGGATTTAGGGCACCCTGAGCCCTCAGGGCATTTTCTGATTTTTTTTAAATGCCCTGATTTTTCAGGGCAAAATTTCCAGGCCATCCTGAAATTTCAGGGCACCAACAAAAATTCATCCGGATGGTTCAGGGCAAAAAATACAAGGCACTAGAGAGGATGGAGGGGAAGGCACAAAAGGAGCAGGTTGTTTAGTGGTTTCACTTCTACTGGCAGAGCAAAAACATTGGTGGGATGGGAACAAAACTAGCACCACCAAAACATTGGTGGGGTCAAAACTAGCACACACATCCCCCAGACTCCTTCCTCCCCTCTCCCCCCCTCCCCCCTCCACCCCTTCTCCCCTTCCCACGAGCCAGGGCATCCCTCTACATGCACCCTAACGCTTCAGGGCAAAATTTCACTCCCATTCTGAAATTTCAGGGTAAAACACATGGATCATCCTGAAGTCACAGGGTAAATTTCAGCGTCATTCTGAAATTCCAGTGCAAACTTAAAACACCATCCTGAAATCAGGGTACCGTATTCTCCCGGATATAAGACCCCCCGGAAAACAAGACCCCCGGGTCTGTAATACGGAGGTGGGTCTTTTATTTTGGCAAGTTTTCACTATACCCCCCCCTTGTTCAAGGATCACAGTACATGCATGCTGCAGCATACCACATCACAAGGCAAGGAATCTTGCCATGTAACGCTGAATCACCCTAAATGTGCCATTTCGACCAATGATAAGCCACACCCGGATTGAATTGTGAAATACTCACATCCGCGGTCCTATCCATGATAAAAAAAAATGCTGAAGCACCCACAACAGCTAAGCAACCAAATACACTCTCAAAAAATATGTCCATATGATAAGACCCGGGTACTATACATTTGTAAGCCTTTGACAAGACCCCCCCTCTGTTTTCTGTGAATTTTTTCTAATACCCTAGGGTCTTATATCCGGGAGAATACGGGTAATCAGGATGTTTTGCCCTGATATCGTGGGCCCTTCAAAAAAGAGAGTCGCACATCTGAGCACATGTAGCTGGAATGCTGTACTAATTTCAAGCATCTACACACGAAAGGCAGCCAGAATCTGCCCGCGGCAAATGGGACATGGCAACTGTTCCACCCTAACCACCCTCGAACACGATACACAACACACGCGGTGGCCACACGGTACAAAGACCGCCTTGCGCTTGCGATGCAGGCACACCACACAGCGCTCACCACTCTGCACCTCCTCCCCCACTACCTCCTCGTCCGCATCCCCATCGCCACTTATATGTGCCAAGCTCCTTTCAAGCTCCAAGGTTGAAGCTGCTAGCGCCCTGACATGTGAGGCCTGGTTCACGCCCGCTTGGATCCTCATCATTTGTTGTTCCGTACCTTCGCCTGCTCCGGCCACTGCCCTTGCTCCCTCTGCTCCTGTTCCTGATCCTGCTTCTGCTCCTGCTGCTGCTGTCTGCTGCTGCCTTTCCAGAAAAGTTGTCATCCTCCTTTCCAGCTCTGCTTGCTCTGCCTGCTCTTGTCGCTGCTGCTGCTGCCTGGATTGCTGGCGACGATTTGCCCTGTCAGAGCACGAAGGAAGGAGAGGGGATGGTGGGTGGGAAGCAATTAGCAGAGACGGCTTCAGTAAATGGATGAGAGGGAGAGGAGAGGAGAGGAGAGGAGGGGAGGGGAGAGGGGAGGGGAGAGGAGAGGGGAGGAGAGGAGAGGAGAGAGAGTAGAGGGGGGCAGAGGAGGGGAGGGGAGGGGAGGGGAGGGGAGAGGAGGGAGGGGAGGGGAGGGCACAAAGTTTGCAAACCTCCCTAGAAGCTAACTAAACGAACCTTCTGCAGAGCTAAGCAAATGCAAGCATACATCGGCATTGCACAGACCCACTCTCCACCTCCCCATCCCTCCTCTCATCCATCCATCCATCCATCCCCCCATCCACCTGTCCACCCATCACCACCCCCACATGAACATGCACGCACCTCCACAGAGCAAAGCCAACGAGGCCCACAGCAGCAGCAGACAAAAACAAGCACCATCCTAGCAGCATCCTCCACTCGCGATTCAGTCTCTGCAGCATGCCCTCCTTGGTGTCGGAGATGCTGGGAGAGGGGGGATGGGAGAAAAAAGACAGCGCTGATGCCATCCTTGGTGTCGGAGAACCTCCGACGAGGGGGTGGAGGGGGGAAAAAGAAGGGAAGGGAGCGTGGTTATGGGTAATAACCTAACAATATTAATGGTAACTTAGCTGGAGCCAGAGAATTTGGGAGAAGGGGAGGCAGCAGGGTGAAGAGGGAGGAAAGGGGGAAGGGTGGTGGTTAAGTTGTAGAATCATCAGCACCGAATCCTGATAGCGATCCACCAAGCATGCACCTCTTGGTGCCCTTAGGAGGGCAAGAGGAGGGGAAGAAACAGGGTAAGGGTAGTGCTGATATTGACACCACGTAGGGCTGCTAGAGGGAAAGGAGGGAAAGGAGGAGGGAAAGAAGGAGGGCAGCCGTGAGCTAGGGAAGGCTGGAGGAAGGGCAGGTAGGAGGTGGGTGAGAGAATGGGGGAGCAGAAAAATGAGGAAAAAGAAAGCATGGCCATGGCCACGACCGACTCAAGGAGAATTCGTAGCAATCTTTCTCGCCTCCAGAGAAAATACAATCTGCTGCTACAGGTGAAATAAGGTTGTGTCAGTAGCGGGGTTGTGCAGACCCATAGTTAGATTCTTAGAGAAGGAAGGAAGCACCACGGTGAGAGATGGTTACATGCAGGTACAGGTAAAGGGCGGAAGTTCGCATGAATGGTGTGTGCAAACAAGCATGAGGGAGGAAAGCATGTTGCACTAGACATGGGCAACGGGTCGGGTCGGGTCGACCCGTACCCGTTTAGGGTGACCCGTGACGGGTACGGGTACGGGTCAGGTCGACCGCCCCGGGTCGACCTGGCCATTTTAGTGACCCATCCCGTCAATATATGTACGGGTCGATTGTGACCCGTGGCGGGTCGGGCCAACCTGTACATGAGACGGGTATCAATGAACAGAGAGGATTTTCTCCAGCATACATGTACTTTTTTTCCCATGTGTACATGCAACACATAGTGTTAATCTGAAAAACAACTTATGCCTACTAATTTTCCTGAAAGCAGAGGTACCCAAGTCACATGGACAACACTGCACAACCACATGCAACAACTGGGGTGGGGGGAGGGGGGGAGTGGGGTAATAGAAAGAAGTTGTCAAGGCAAGGCATGCAAGCAATAAATATATTTTGTAGGTTAAAATAATGGTCAGATCCCCTTGTCCTCGACATCCACACATAGTTCATGCGAAACCGCCACCGCCCCAGGGCCCATGAGCGTCTGGTCGTCAGGGTTCTGCACCATCCATGTCTTAACCCGTCAGTGCAACCCACACACCACACCACTCATTAAATGTGAAGGAAGCAAGTGTGGTTGGCACAGGAAATAAGGGAGCATTATTGAGATGACTCATTACTCAGAGGGAGTAGGGTGGGTGGTATAAGGGTTCCTATGGTCCAGGGGAGCACTCACAGGAAGTAGGGGAGTTTGGGGGAAGCGAAGATTGCAGGTCGACCGTTGGAACCAAATCTCACGTGGCCGACAGCGGTCAGGTCGTGATTGATTGGCAGCACCCTCTCGTCCGTGCGCAGGCCCAGCTGGTGGGAGGGGATCGTGAGCGATGTGTGCAAGGCTGGTGAAGAAAGGAGGTCACACAACCCTCTCGTTTGTGAACATACGTGTGGAGCCGCAACTCATTTATTCAGTTTCACAGGAGCAATAGAGTGCAAGAATTCACAAGTGCATCCAGATGTTTGTCATTTCAAAAGCATGTGAGACTTGAGCGGCAGAGGAGAGAGGTTAAATACAGCACTCTGCAAGATGCGAATCAGGTAGCAAAGGACAGCATGAGTATATTCGCTGGAAGTTGCTTTATAAGCACGTGCAAGGCGTTTAACGAGTACACTCACCAAAAGATCCTTCCCTATAAGCACATGCAGGACGGCACTGCCCCATGAGGGGTGGGTCTTGTGGACGTGACTAAAGACGGTGTGCAGAGGCAAGGGTTGTGTAACGCCCTCCAATGATATGTCAACACGTGGCGCTGATGGGTGAGTGGTCTCCGCTAGAGAGAAGGGGATCTGTGGAGAGGTGAGGGAGGAGAGGACACGGAGAGGGAAAGGAAGCGGAGTGGGAGAGAGGTGACAAGACAGAGGCGCTGAGAGGAAAGGACGGGAAGAGAGGAATGGGGCGGAATTAGGGTGTGAGGGAGCACTAACTTCAGGGGAGCTCTTGCAAAAAGCAGCAGCGAGAATCTGTAACTTACGGATTTTCGAAAGAGGATGCTGTAACGATCTGGTCCTGTGAGCCAACCATAGAGGAGGTTTGTATTCAGGATCTGTGTCAAGCATGTGAACGTGCAGCAAGGATAGAAATGGCATGGGGTGAAGGGAGGGGCGGAGGAACGGGGCAAGTGAGAGGGAAACAGAAGGGGGGAGTTCAAGGGACGGGTTGGAGACTCCTACACGCACGCAGCGGCAGCTTGGAGTGAGGGGGGTTATCAAATATGAAAAAAACGCAAAGAAAGATGGAGGAGAGAAGGACGGGGACGGCAGGAGGAGGTGGGAAATGGGGAGACAAGGGAGAAGAGGAGCAGAGAGGGTCAGAGAGAAGAGAAGACAACTAGGTTGACAAAAAGATATTCCATGAAGAGAAGTTGCCTATTCTCTCTGCTCTCTCCCACTCACTTACTCTCTCCGTCCTCGCCACAACCTCACAACTGCTCACAATTTGCGAGGCCATATTTAAGGTTCATCCGCTTCCTCCCTCCCTCCCTCCCTCCCCTCCCTCCCCCTCTCCCTCCCTCCCTCCCCCCCCCCCCCCCCCCCCCCCCTCCTCCCCCCCTCCCCCTCCCCAAGCGAACATCATCAACAAACTCAAATACCCTTTGTCACATTCTAAGGGAGCTCCAGAGAGGGCTCCAGTATGGCAAGAAAGTCTCCCAGGAACATTCTGGGGAGATGGAGAGCGAGTGGGCTGGTGAAACCGGGAGGGCTGCATGGGGCTCCAAAGAGGGCTCCAGCATGGGGCGCCCACGGGCGGGTTCTCCACCTGGGCTGCCTCGTTACATTTTGTCATGAAGCTTGCCCGCGTTGCAGTTCTACCGACCAGCGCTGGCGGAATTGGTGTAGGAACTTTGCCGCGTCAGCAAGTGACTTGAGGAAGGCATGGGCAGCCATAAGTCTCGACAGCCAAACCCTCTCCCCTCCGCCCCTCCGCCCCTCCCCCCCCCCCCCCCCCCCCCCCCCCCCCCCCCTCTCTCTCTCTCTCTCTGCCGTGTCAGCAAGTGACTTGAGGAAGGCATGGGCAGCCATACGTCTCGACAGCCAAACCCTCCCCCCCTCCGCTCCTCCGCCCCCGCTCTCTCTCTCTCTCTCTCTCTCTCTCTCTCTCTCTCTCTCTCTCTCTCTCTCTCTCTCTCTCTCTCTCTCTCTCTCTCTCTCTCTCTCTCTCTCTCTCTCTCTCTCTCTCTCCGCCCACTCACCGTCTCCGTCCTCTCCACGATCGCACACGCCTGCTTCACGCCGTGTTCCGGCAGCAACAACGGGTCGAGCCTCCACCCAAGTCCGAACCGCTGCAGAACATGGAAGTCTCCACCACCAAAGCCGAGCCTCCTCCAGCCATGATACCCCGACCCGGATGCCTGCACGACCCCTCTCACTGCCACCAACTCATGGGGCGCCTCAACGGTTGAACTTGGAGTGTTCTCAGCTGAACGTCTACCACTGCTACTTGCGTGAAGCAACCACCCTAGTCCGGCACCGCTGTTGCTGCTGCCGCCGCTTCTGCTGCTGCTGCTTCCGGCTCTGGCGGCGTCAGCAGGCTGCATCGCGCGACTCAGTTCCGCGATGGTCGTTTCGCGCGCGGATTTAAGCGCGGAGAGGGAGCTAGACAAATCTATCAGCCGCCACCACGCGACTGCGGCGCTCCCGACGGCCAACGCGCCGACAAGCGTCTCCTTGTGTGCGAGACTCGCACCAGGAACGCCGACTATCGCCCCTTGCTGAGCAAGAATTGTTCGAGCAGCTGCCGGCGGCGGCGCGCTAGAAGCAGCACTACCGCCTGAAGCGCCGGAATTCCCGCCCCTAGATGAACGCATTGTCACGGAACGACGGTGGGACGGAGAGTCAAATTTGTCGCATTACCGTCTTGCAACAGGAGTTACGATGGTATAATTCTCATTAACGGAATTGGTGAGGGGCGACGATGACAGGATAGGAGTTTCCACTCTCTGAGAGGAAATCAATCGAAGATCCCGTAAAGGCGGTGACTCGGAGTCCTTGAAGAGCCATCGTTGTGACGGGAAATCTCGATATTTACGCCTGACGAGACGTCACAATAATTTTGAGACCCAAGTAGTTAAGACGAAAGGGCAGACACCCGCACTGAGGATGATGCCGTCATGCACAGGCCAGTCGCCTTGGGATTGCCAATAACTGACGACGCGGCGAGCGCCGTGCGAAGACGTCAGCTCAATTAATTTCGAATGATGGTGACTTGGCGCCACGCAAAGAATCACCGTGCGTGGGACGGTGGTCTTAGTATGATAGAAGAGCAGACGGTCAGAGAGTGATGACGTGAGCATTCCCAGCCGCGTTGGCATTCCCGAGAGGTGGCAACGCGGCGAGCGCAGTGCGATAGCGACAGCGCTGTAATCTGGGCCCGTCATCGTCGCTAGAACTAGCCGGTCCCTGTTTCAAACGCGAAGCGCTATAGCGACAACGAGAGGGGCTTACTGGATTAGGTTTGTTGGAAAGGGAGAGGCGGGACAGCGATATGCGTCACGATAGGGCAGATAGTCAAATGTTACGTGTCAGCAAGTAACAACGGGTAACGAGTACCGTCGACATCTCCCATAGCAGCAGCCGTTGTTCGCCCCTTACTGCTAACGGGGCTTTGTCAACTTTGCGCGCACTATTTCACCAAACCATGCACCCCTAGCCCCGCCGAGTCGGCCTACCCTTTTGGACTAGCCCGAACCTTGATGCCAGCCTAGCACTAACTAGCTTGTAAGGAATTACAATTCCTTAATGTATTCGCACTTTAGCGAGTACATCCCGAAGGTCACGCGACGAACCTATTTGGCCTATTTCGTCGCACCGAACCACTCCCGAGTCGCCCCTGCACCAATCGCAACCATCACCGAGCCATCTTCGCCCCACCTCTTCGCCTAGCTAGGACTTCCTCTATTTAGGCCTCGTCACTTCGTGTGTATCGTCATTCAGTAATTCAATTATTCTCGTTATTCGTTTTACTGCGCACTCTGCAAGTTCATTCATAACACCTGGTATCAGAGCTACTTTCCTAGCCTACCCCGCTTTTTAGAGTGTATTACCCCTCGAGGGGGGGGGGGGCGAGGAAGGATGCCTTGAGGTCCAGGAGCTGTGTGCTAGCCGGCCAGGAGAACTAGTTAGTTGCTCCTGTTAGAAACAATAGGAGTGGGGCCTAGGCTTAGTAGCCTAGGCCCACACTAGGAGGTAGTAGGTTGTGCCCTAGGACTAGGGTTTGTGGTATACGAAGGAGAATTGGAGAAGTGAGAATGGGAATGATGATTGAACTAGCAAGCAGCAGGATACATATAGGAAACCCTAAGGGGTTGTACTCACTATTGAGCACCCCACTGCAGGCTAGACAAATAACATAATCTGACACACCCCCATAGCCAAAGTGGGGTGTAATCAGCACACGTGAGAAGTCACAGCAATAGTTCACAATTATCAGCAAAGCTAGTGGCAGTCACAGGAGGCCAGTGAGGAGGAGGAGGAACTGTGGAGGGAGAGAAGAGAGGAGGCGACTACTGAAGTTGCAGACACACGGGCACCAGGAGCACCAGGCTGCAACCTCCTCCAACTGTCTCACTCCCCCCTACACACACCCCCAGGGTCACCACTCGCTCCACGCCCACATCACCCCCCTAGCGCCACTCCCTCGTCTCCCACACATCCACCCCCCTCAGCAGCAGCTGCAGCAGTGGGAGACGGAGGAGAAGGAAGGGGCGACGCACACGGAGCACCCCCACACCCGCCACCCCCACACCCTCCTGTCCAGGGGACCCAGGGGGGGGGGGGGGCGGGGCGGGAGAGCGCACGAGGGCGCAGGCAACCGCGCGTGCAGAGCAACAGCGCGGAGCAGGTAGGGTAGAGCGCACGAGGGCGCGGGTGAGACTGAGCGTGACTGCACAGGGTCCAGGAGCGGCGTCGCGGGCAGCTGCATGGTCGGCTGCTGCTGGTGCGGTTGCTTCAGGGGCGGCGACTGAGGTTCCGGGGGCAGCTGCAGCAGTGGCGACTGCTCCAGGGGCCAGGGGCGGCTGCTGCAGGGGCGGCTGCTCCAGGGGCGGCGTCGCGGGCCCAGGGGCGGCTGCACCAGGGGCGGCGGCTCCAGTGGCGGCTGCTCCAGAGGCGGCTGCTGCAGAGGCGGGCGACTCCAGGGGAGGCTGCTGCAGTGGCGGGCGGCTCCAGGGGCGGCTGCTGCTGTGGCGGGCGACTCCAGGGGCGGCTGCTGCAGTGGCGGGCGGCTCCAGTGGCGGCTGCTGCTGTGGCGGGCGACTCCAGGGGCGGCTGCTGCAGTGGCGGGCGACTCCAGGGGCGGCTGCTGCTGTGGCGGGCGACTCCAGGGGCGGCTGCTGCAGTGGCGGGCGGCTCCAGTGGCGGCTGCTGCTGTGGCGGGCGACTCCAGGGGCGGCTGCTGCAGTGGCGGGCGACTCCAGGGGCGGCCGCTGCAGTGGCGGGCGGCTCCAGGGGCGGCTGCTGCAGTGGCGGGCGGCTCTAGGGGCGGCTGCTGCTGTGGCGAGCGGCTCGAGGCGCGCCCTGGCCTGGCGCAGTCCGTACGGGCCGCGCTGGCGCTCGCGGCTGGCCGTGGCGCTGGCGTCCGCGCGGGGCGACGAAAGGGGGGGCGCGGGGCGACGAAACGGGGGCCGCGGGCGACGGGAACGGGGGGCCGCGGGCGACGGGAACGGGGGGCCGCGGGCGACGGGAACGGGGGGCCGCGGGCGACGGGAACGGGGGGCCGCGGGCGACGGGAACGGGGGGCCGCGGGCGACGGGAACGGGGGGCCGCGGGCGACGGGAACGGGGGGGCCGCGGGCGACGGGAACGGGGGTCCGCGGGCGACGGGAACGACGCGGGGCGACGCGGGGGCGACGGGGCAGAAAGCCGCCGCGCGCCTCGGGGCGCACGGCGGGCAGAAAACCGCCGCGCGCCTCGGGGCGCACGGCGGGCAGAAAACCGCCGCACGCTTCGAGGGCGCGGCGGGATGAAAAATTAGGGTTTCGCCGCCGCGCACCACGGGGCGCGCGGCGGACACTACGGCAGCGGAAGCAGGTGGTGGGCCCATAGAGGTAAGCGGCAGGAACGTGCTCGCTCTAGATACCATGTTAGAAACAATAGGAGTGGGGCCTAGGCTTAGTAGCCTAGGCCCACACTAGGAGGTAGTAGGTTGTGCCCTAGGACTAGGGTTTGTGGTATACGAAGGAGAATTGGAGAAGTGAGAATGGGAATGATGATTGAACTAGCAAGCAGCAGGATACATATAGGAAACCCTAAGGGGTTGTACTCACTATTGAGCACCCCACTGCAGGCTAGACAAATAACATAATCTGACAGCTCCTCGCGGCCATGTTTTTACGGAGCACTCCTTGGAACCGCCAGATCCTTGCCTCGAACGGTCGCGATCGACCGTGACCTCCCTCCCCCCCTGCAACGGGGGGCCCGTTGGGAGGCCATCGACCGTGGCCACAAATGCTCACCTTTGACCACATTTTTGTCTTCACATTGCCAGAATCAGGCGATATCTTCAGCATTTCTAGCTGGCACCGATTGACGTGGTCGAAATCAAATTGTTTGTCGTTGGCGGAGCGAGCTGGGTGTGTTGTCATTAGTAGAGATGGAGCGGTTGTATCCCGAAATCCTCTGGCCGCTAAATCGGGAATGTTACGAGAATGTCGACGATGAGTACGATTGGTTGTGTCCAGTGTCAGATGATGTCAGCACCTCCGGCGGTTTTGTCCAGACTCGCCGAGCCATTTGTCGTAATGCGCAGAGGGCTCTTGGGCAGAGATGAAAATTTGCAGCTGTATCTCTCCCCCCCTGCACTGTTGATGCCGCCTTCCCCAGTTCGTCGTAAGTCGTTTGTACCCCTTAAAAACCCCGTGTAGTTCCAACGGTATTGCCCTGCGTTGTTATCGCGCGCGTTTAACCAAACGCCGAATACTCATCCGAAATTGTCGGCGCTTCTCGTCGTAAAACCAGTTAAGTCCCGCGTAAAACTCCGAAAATGTCGTTTGAACAGAGCCCCGAAAATCCGCAGTTGCAGGTGCAGTTCGCCTCCGAAAATCTCGGACGTACTTTAGCCGCCCACTCGGTCATCATCAGTTTCCCGACCCCAGCATGTGGGTTCAATCGAGAACCGGGGACTGCCCTGGGTCTTCCGAGACCGAATTTCACGGAACCTAGTGGCATCAACGCCGTTGACCCTCGTAGTCGAAGCTACTCCCGCCGATGCTGTTTAACAAAATAACCGAATTCTCCCACTGGCGCTTTGCAGATGTTTCACCCATCGCTCGTCGCCGGCAGGTAAGTACCCGAAGCTACGACTGCTCCTCCGCTCCCTTTTGCTGAAGGATTTCCCGAGGTGTGCGTTAAAACATCGAGGGTCCCATGTATCCCCGCTGCTAAGTTTCTTGCCAGGCAACTTCGAAAAGTGCCTATTAAGCGAAGTCCCCCAACGGCTCAACCGCACTCCAAGAAATGAAAAAATACCCGCAGCTTCATGATTTTTTTGGTCGTTTCACCCCCCGTCAATTCCGCTTCCCGCCGTTCACCCAGCGTCCGCTTTTGTCGGATGGGGTATAGTTGGTGTTGCCCACGCGAACTCGGCCACGGTGGAGAGGCAAAAACTATCGGAGTCGGGGACCCTTAATTAAAAGGAACTATCGCCCAACCGTTTTGCAGCCCACCGCAACCGTCACGCCACTAAACTTCCAGCTTCCAAGTCCCTGCTTTGCCGCTGCGCCGTGTCAGAATCCCAGCCACTAACCACTGGGATAAAAGGGCTTGTTTGTATAGCGGGTGAGTGCGCCCATAACCCCCCAGGCCGCCGTGCCTGTAACCCTTCCCTAGGATCAATCGGGGATCTCCAGTGGACCTCTGACACCCCCCCGCACTGGGATGCCCGAGGTGCACACACCGGGATTCGAACCCGAGACCTTCGCTCTGATACCATGTCAGAATCCCAGCCACTAACCACTGGGATAAAAGGGCTTGTTTGTATAGCGGGTGAGTGCGCCCATAACCCCC